AAGAGTAACTAAGAGTTCAGAGTTTCTAATTTGCATAAGTTAGACAAAGACTTTAGCGCGAACTGAGTCTGATTGTACATTTAAACACGGTCGTAATTGGTACAATTACGTTCAAAGGTACAATTGAACTCCGTAAACAATTGAATTGTGTGGATTGACCCGGGGCTCATCATACCGAGTTGTGCATTAACACGAGGCACTGGATACCACCAGCAAAGTGAAAAGAAAACAAGTGACGTTTTATGCAATGTACATGACGGTATACCTGAGTAAGACAGCTTTATGTAAGAAAACACAGCCTTTTTGTTGACTAGCAGTTAAATGAAGATTTTAAACGGGCTGTGTCACCCCATGTCACTTCTTGTCATGCTCTTCTAAAGGGTAATAAAAATCTTAATTTTCCCAACGTTTTTTTCCTTTTTAGGTTGTGGAAGATATTGACAGCGAGACGGTTGGAGAGAACCTTTCAGACATTGTGCCTGGTTTAATTAGGGTAAATAACTGCTATATGTTACGTGCTATTTGAATCATTCTTTATTCCTTTGTCCAAACAATTTTTTTTTTCTTTTAGTGTTATGATCATGTGGAGAGCAGTGTCCGTAAAGCTAGTGTGTTTTGTCTTGTGGCGATTCACAGTTCAGTCGGTGAGGAGACCCTAATGCCACATTTGGCCGAGCTATCTGGGACAAAGGTTCGAATTTATCCTCGTTAATTCATTACTATCGGTTATAGATCAAAATGAAATAAAACGAATATGTCACCTGCGTGGGACAAAGTTAGAATCTGAGTCGTCGACAGGATTTGAACCCATGACCTCCCAGGTACCGGTATCTGGGAGGTCACGAGTTCCAATTCTGTCGGGGATTCAGATTTTTTGTTTACCCAACGCTCGTGACAAATGAGCATTTCATCTTTATCATTTATTCACCAAGCTGAAAATTTACCATCTGTCATTATTCTGTGGCTACAGATTTGATAGCAGACTTTTCAAGGGTTAGTCGAGTAATTCAAAAATGATTGGAGAGTGATCGAGTGAGCGAGCGGGATCGTGAGTGAATGGCCAGGGAGGCGAGCTCTTAGGAGTATATTCCTCTGCAAGTCAACAGTAAATTTGTAAAATTGCACTTGCGCTATACTTGGCGGCAAGTTTCTCTCAACAATTTTTTTTTTCATCTGGCATCATTTTATTTACCCTATAGCCTGGGTAGCTGGTGGTTTAGTTGCAGTAGAGCGCGCGATCGAGCAGCCGGCGTAGCCGTTAAGCGTAGCCGCGAAAACGAGCGGCCAAACCGCGAGGGGTCTGATGGGAGATTCTTCCCAGGCCACTCGCGGCTTCGCTGCTCGTTTTCGCGGATCACGCTCTTTTCGTTCCTCTATCCCAACCAGCTAACCGCCAGCTACGCAGACTTACTCTAACAAACGGTCATCAAAATCCTGTAATTTACATCACCATCACCATCATCATCGTCATCATCATCTGCTTTGTGGACAATAAGCTTAGTAATGTCAAATTATATAAACCAAGTTATTTTAATTTTATACCTGTTTTCTTAAACAGATGAAATTGCTCAATCTCTACATCAAGAGGTCCCAGTCCGGAATCGGTGGGCGTCGTCCGTGAGAGTCTTGTGACGAGTTATGAAGATATTCACTTACAGTCTCCGTTGAGAGATGGAAAGTTCTCTAAGAGACCGAGCCACTCAAATTGGCGATCGCTAATCACGGTGTTTCTACGTGTAACAAAGGTCCTACCCGGCACAGAAGCGTCGCTTAGTCTCCTCGGTTCAAGACTGTACTTGGTCTCCTGCCAAAAATGTGGTTCTTTAGTTGAGAATAATGTTTCGGTGAAACCATGAATCCGCCCAAACGTTAAGATATTGTCAAGTCTGCCGAGTCAGTTGCCGATTTCTAAACACATTGTGCAGCCTGTCAGTACGTGTTAATCGTGATCCAGGCTCTCTGAAAAGTTCTTTCACCATTGCTGTTAACAGGAGTTTTCCTTTCTGGTATTGTTAAATCGCTCCGCGCCGATCAGCACAAGGACTTGGCGATTGTATACAAGGAGAGAGTTGTTTTTCCAGAAGCAACTGAGTTAGAAATGGGCCTACAAAGAAAAAAAAAAAAAATCAAGATTAGAATTGTAAACTATTATTGAACAAGGCCCAAATGTATTGCCACCGAGATCTTTTAATTTGCCAGCATTTTATCTTGTTAACTTTGTACATTTTTTATCGTTTTCATTTTGTATTATGACTTTGTTTTCTTGTTGTTTCTGAAGTACAGAGACAAATCTAATTCCTGATATTGCCACCAAGCGTTGAAATTGGAAGCAATGCTCCACTAAAGAGGCACTTCATCGTTACAAATATTTGCGTGACTTGCGTTTTTTTAGAGATTAGCGTGGCGCAAATCCTTGAGTGAGGTTGTCACGCAACCCTGCATCGGATCTAGGCAAAGGCCATGTATGTGCCCGCTGTAGGTATGATTTTGCTTGTGAGATAAGGAATAATATATTTATTTTTAAAATAGACTTCCTTTGGGCGCAATAAATATCGTATTGTTTTATGTGTGAAGTAATGACCTAGACCGTAGGTACATTGTAACGATCTTTATAAAGATGGGTAATTCCGACCTCTGTCAGGAAACTTACAGTCGAAAACAGCAAAACCATTAAAAATCTTGCGAAGTAAAAAAAAGCATGTGTATTCTTGTTCTCAATTCCATTCCTCTTCAGTCTACTCTTCGATCTTCTTATCAAAGAGGAATCCTACTCCGTCATCTTCTACTATCTTTATTTGCGGAGACAGGAGTCTACAAAAGAAGGACAAAAGCAAACAGTTTTTCTTTTTTTTTCCGAATAATCTTCCAAAAAAATTGTTTGAGTTCTGTAGTCCCACGATCCTCTTGTAAGCCGTATTTGAATTCTCGGTGTTGGCCTGGAACTAGCTTGCAACTGAGGCTAATGCGAGGAGTTATTTCAAATGCAAATGACATTAATCTCTTTTTAATGATATTCACCCTCGTGAGCCTCCATTGCAAGCTACGTCCGGTCCAATATACCGAGAATACGAATATGGTCTATTCAACAGGTTATCGCACTAGCCCGTTATGAGTGCTTCCCTTCTAATCCTTTTGGGAGTGTTTCTAAATTTGCTCCTGATCAAACATTGATACCGTGTGATGTATCGATAAAATAGAGGCAACAACACTCCCCCGGCACACCTCAAACATTTGACTACGGTAGTTGATGGATCGGGGGGAGGGGGAATTTGAACCCGGTGGGGTTCCCATATAAAAAGGACGGGGGTGCTCGT